GTAGGGATTGCCCTAAATTGCACAGTTTGTGAAATTAATCAAATTACCCGTCTTTATTTGCCNCAGGATGCTAATTACTGAAGATATGATATCTTGTAATGATGAGAACAAAAAATGTGAACTTACCATGACAACAAATGAAGGTGACGAAACCAATATGGCAGCTATCCAAGTTGTTACTAAAGCCATTTTGGTATATTTCTTGGTGCATATTATTTTTGAAGTAAGTGGATGAACAATAGCAAAGTATCTGGAAGGAAGAAAATAAATTGCAATAAAATGCTAAAATGACAACGAGCTCGCAGTTATTATTAATCCTTGCTTGGGAACATTTAGGTTAGGGCGAAACCTGGTATGCCTTCTTTTCTGACTTGCAAAAAGATTTGTATTTTTTTAGTCTTTCACAAGGACTTGCACCAGGCTCTTTTCATTAGGGTATGCCAAGATTAGAATATACTTGTATTGGGATAAATTTGTCATTATACTGGAGTATTTTCATTGGAACATGTGTTGGTACATTTTTAATATTGATGTATTTTCATTGGGACATGTATTGGTACATTTTTAATATTGATGTATTTTCATAGGGACATGTATTGGTACATTTTTAATATTGATGTATTTTCATAGGGACATGCATTGGTACATTTTTAATATTGATGTATTTTCATTCGGACATATATTTGTACATTTTTAATATTGATGTATTTTCATTGGGACATGTATTGGTACATTTTTAATATTGATGTATTTTCATTGGGACATGTATTGGTACATTTCTAATATTGATGTATTTTCATAGGGACATGTATTGGTACATTTTTAATATTGATGTATTTTCATAGGGACATGCATTGGTACATTTTTAATATTGATGTATTTTATCGGGACATATATTGGTACATTTTGATGTTTATGTATTTTCATTCGGACATGTATTGGTACATTTTTAATATTGATGTATTTTATCGGGACATATATTGGTACATTTTAATATTTATGTATTTTCATTCGGACATGTATTGGTACATTTTTAATATTTGTGTATTTTCATTCGGACATGTATTGGTACATTTTTAATATTTGTGTATTTTCATCGGGACATATATTGGTACATTTTTAATTTGATGTATTTTCATTCGGACAAGTATTGGTACATTTTTAATATTGATATATTTTCATCGGGACATATATTGGTACATTTTTAATATTGATATATTTTCATCGGGACATATATTGGTACATTTTTAATATTGATGTATTCTCATCGGGACATATATTGGTACATTTTTAATATTGATGTATTTTCATTCGGACATGTATTGGTACATTTTTAATATTTGTGTATTTTCATTCGGACATGTATTGGTACATTTTTAATATTTGTGTATTTTCATTCGGACATGTAATTGATGTATTTTCAAAAGGACTATTGGTGTATTGAGATATTAGTGTATTTTAATTGGGACCTTTAATAGTGTAATTTCATTGGGACCTGTATTAGTGTAATTTCATTTGAATCTGTAATAGTGTATTTTCATTGTGACCTGTATTAGTGTATTTCCATTGAGACATGTATAAGTGTATTTTAATTGAGACTTTTATTTG